ATGGCTTTACCAGATGGCAGTCGCAGATATTGATCGTCCTGTCGCATTAATTGACACATCCTGCTATTCTGCAGATTGTAGTCTTTCTGCCCTGGTACCGCAACATGCAATGAAGCCATATCGTTTATTAGTTACAATGGAGCTTATTAAAAGTTTGGGACTAGATCGCCATTGTCGAACAGTCGTACCACCCCTTATTGGAATTGAACAGTTACAGACTTATCATGCAGAAGGTTACATTTCGAACCTTGGTCTTCATAGCAGTCAAAGTTGGTTATGGAATACAGAAATTTCAAAGGTGACCTTTTCGGGGGATTGTCCTCCAGTAGAAGGGATAATGGAACATTCGCTTTCCACTGTAAGCGGTTCACTTATGGCAGCCATACTCTTGAACAGTGGAAAGGCTGATACTGTTATTCATTGGGGTGGTGGAATGCATCATGCAAAATGTGGGGAATGCTCTGGATTTTGTTATGTAAACGACATAGTTATTGCCATTATTGAACTACTGAAATGTTACAAAAGAGTCTTGTATGTGGACCTTGATATGCATCATGGAGATGGTGTTGATGAGGCTTTTTGTCAAAGCAATAGAGTGTTTACACTATCTCTTCATAAATTTGGTGAATCATTTTTTCCCGGTACGGGGCACCCACGTGACGTAGGATTTGGAAATGGACGTCATTGCACCATGAATTTGGCTTTGTGGGATGGTATAGATGATTTTTTCTACACGACAATTTTTGAACATGCACTTTCCTCAATTGTGAAGCGATACATACCTGATGTTGTGGTTTTACAATGTGGTGCCGATTCTTTGGCTGGAGATCGTCTTGGACACTTTAACTTATCGTCATGGGGACATGGAAAATGTGTTGAGGAAGTCAAAAAGATTGGTTTGCCAATGCTGGTGTTGGGAGGAGGAGGTTATACCTTAAGAAACGTTGCAAAGCTTTGGGCTTACGAAACAAGCATTCTCTGTGGTAAGAAATTGCCTTTGAATACAGTTGTTCCTGTCCAAAGAATGCCCCTGAGTGGCTGGTTATTTGAAGGTTCGACCCAGTTGTTAGTTGCACAAGATGAAGAAAACAAACCACTTCCCGGTGTCAATGTCCAGCGAGCCTTTAGGATGGTCATTGAGCAAATTGATAAGCAATGTCCTAATATCAGCTTTCCCTAATTATATAGGGCTTATCTCTTGATATCATGTTTGAATACCACAAATAATATATGGACCGCATGCATCTTTTTATTTGTGCAAAACGAGTGAGGAAAATCTCGTGTGCGAATTTCTTTATTTCTTGCTTTTTTTTTTTTTTTTTTTTTTTTTTTTTTTTGCTTATATATGGCTTGGGTGGGTAAAAATTGGAAAAAAAAATCAAAAAAAATTGATGCAAACTCCAAACTCTGAGTGTGTCGGTCCTGAAAGTCCAAAAGCTGGAATTGCTTCATCCTGCCAAGGATGTCCCAACGCTTCCATATGTGCTTCTATGCCAAAAGGACCGGATCCGGATATTGAATTGATCAGACAGCGCCTATCAGGTGTCAAACGAACTGTCATGGTTATCAGTGGAAAGGGGGGAGTTGGAAAAAGTACTCTCACCAAAGAACTTGCGTTTGCTTTGGGCCAAATGGGACTAAATGTTGCCTTGGTGGACTTGGATATATGTGGTCCCTCTCTTCCACGTCTGATGGGCGTCCGAGGAGAAGATGCACATCAAAGCGCCGCAGGTATCGAGCCCGTTCTGGTTGACGAGACGGTTTCCATGATTTCTATGCATTACTTGTTAGGGGACAAAAATGAGGCCGTTCTCTTTCGAGGCCCCCGAAAAAATGGTGTCATTAAGATGTTTTTGAAGGATGTGATTTGGGGTGATGTCGACATCATGCTTATTGATACCCCTCCTGGAACATCGGATGAGCATATTACAGTTGCATCAATTTTGCAACAATGTGGTGGAGTAACCGGTGCCATTCTAATTACAACTCCCCAGTTGGTTGCAGAAGCAGACGTAAAGCGAGAAGTGAAATTTTCTCATAAAGCAAAACTTCATTTGCTTGGAATTGTAGAAAATATGAGCGGCTTCGTATGCCCTAACTGTAAAGAAAGCTCTGTCATTTTCCCGCGTGCGAATTCTCAGGGAGCTGGGAAGCGCTTGAGTGATGAATTTGGGGTTCCCTTTTGGGGAGAAGTTCCCCTGGATCCTGTCTTAATGAAGGCATGTGAAGAGGGTGTCTCATTGACAGATATAGTTGACGGTAAAAGTCCAACTATTGAAATACTACAGTCGGTTGCCGCAAAGCTTGTCGCATCTCTGGAAATTGAATAAGCTACAAGGTATCTCTTACTTTTTGCTATATTTTTTTATTTCTAAATTGGTGATGATACCAACCAAAGGGAAAGAGAATGTGGTGGGGGAAAGGGAATCAACTTAAACGAAGTGGATTATAATTTTTATGATATCTAGATCTTCTGACACATTCTTTTATTTTATTTTTATGTACTTATTTTGTTGTTGTTGTTGTTTTTTACCTGTATTAAAAAACGCTTAGAAACCAATGTCAATAGTGGCTTCATTTGTTTCCGAATGTGTTCGAAATGGTCGTTGGATTCGAGGACTTTTGGCGCTTCATGGGAGTCTTCACTCAGATGAAGTCGATGTTTCCAAGGCAAGAATTCAATTGGCGACCACAATAATTAATAAAGATTGGTACACTGCATTAGCTTTGGTGAGAACGAAAGATACTTTCTATTTAGATGAACTATCTAAATTCATCTATGAATGTTCTAGGAGTGCCTATTTTCCTTCAGAAGTCTTTGTTAACGTTGTTGAAACATTTCTCCAGAGTGTAAGAGGGAGGAATGAGAGCCAGAATCGGATTTTTGTTTCGGCCATTAAGTGGACAACATGGAATCAGGCTCTGCAGTTTCTCACCATGTTGGAATCTCCAGATGGAAAAAGCATAAAAGAAGTATCTGAGTGGCTTAGGATTAGTCGCGTGTTTGGGAGCAATGAAAAGAGGCATATCATAAACACCGTACTTATGCAATTAAACTCCTCTGATCTAGACCACCTGAATGTGGCAACTCAAGCTAATCAAAGAACAAAAAGAGCGTTACCGGTTTTTTCAGCAACAGGTCGACAAGAAAATTCTGGATTGGCTAAAGCCTTAAACTCTTTAAAGACAAATGATTTCCTCAGCATGACATCGGTAGCAAGGATTGCAAATGCGACGATGCGTGGGGAAAATGTTTCGTGGAAACTGGCTCTTTCTCTTGTTTTGAAACATCGAGTTGTGGAGGATTTGAATGAAATGTTTGCCAGGCTAATCGGGGTCTGTTGTCCCCAAAATTGGCGCGTTGCTCTTGATTATTTCCATTTGGAAGGAAAATTTGCCTTGTGGCTTGCCTCACGCCAGAGTTGGAGAGCCGGTTTAATAGTATCACAATCGAATTTGATACCCATTTCTGAGGCGTACGATATTCTCAGTCGATGCGCCACACCAACTACAGAATCAAGAAAACTCATCACTCTTTCTGGAGCGAGTAAGAGAATTTGTACTCCCAGCAAAAGGGCAATTGCCTCAATGCTTGCCAGTGGATATCTTCTTGAAGAGCTTCAGTTGAGTGCGTTTTCAAAAGTATGTCAGCGTACGGGAGATTGGGAATCTGCACTCTTTCTTTTCTATCGTGTTGCCACAGATGAGTTTCAGCGACGCGCCATTTTTTCCCTTTTAGAGTCTTGTCCGAATATCACTACGGAGAAAGTACTTGGACTTGTGAATAATCTTCATCCTGCGAGTGCTTCAACAACTTACATGATGATAAAACACTCAAAGAGTTGGACTGAGGCTCTGCATATTTTGCGTTACGTAATGGCACGGGGAACCCGATGTAACCCGCAAATTTTGAGTGCCTTTATGGACGTCGATCCA